GTTCAAACAACCACAATACGCCTCTACGCATATCATCACCAAGCATGATTAATAGTATCAACGCTTTACTAACCAACAAACCTATTGCCAAAGCTATATATACAGTTTTGACCCCATTGGGTAGATTTAACATTCCGCTACGCATTATAAAAAACCCTGCCCAACATAAAATGTCAATAAGCACATAAATACTCATAATAACATTACGGGCAGTATTTGGAAGTGATCGTATTGCTGACTTAAGAACTATAAAACTATAATATTCGGCAAGCGCCAATACCGCAAAAAACAATATGATTCGAAAAGTATTCATTAATAGAAAACAAAAAAATGAACCGCAAAGGTAAAAGCCTGAATGGTATGAAAATGTTACAAAATGTAAGAATTGAAAAAAAGAATGGAAGGCATTCTTAAAATAATTCGAAACAGATATAGTATTTTACAAGCTAATTATTAGCTTTGTAGCAAATCATTATTTTACAAGACTTATGAAAAAGATAGTTTTTGGCCTTGGTATGGGCGCATTATTACTTGTTGCATCGTGTAAAAAAGAGCTCGGCGGCTTGCCAGAAAATTCATGGTCTGTTTCGGGCAAAACTTTTACTGCTAGCTCAGTGGATGTTTCTGTTGCCAAAAACTATATTTCCGCATCAGATGGACTTGGCTCAACACTAAATTTTTCTTTTAAATCATTACCTGCTAGCAGCAAAGATTTAAATATAAATGATGTAGCCTACACTAATGAAGACGTAGCCATAAGAACAGTATTGAGCGGCAATATCATCTACAATAGTGTACCAACAAAAGGCTCATTTTTATCATTAAGAGTTAATAATGGCAAGTATACCCTTATTGCAAACGATTTAAAAATGGTAAATGCTAGTTCTTCAAAAGACACTGTTACCGTTTCTACAAATATTGTTCAACTTTAATCACGTTTATCTAAAAAAATAATGAAAAAATCTACCCTTTTACTCTTAGCGATACTATCCATAATCATTGCTTCTTGTTCCAAAGAATATGAAGCGCCAGTGTTTACACCTGAGGCTAATACTTGGATTATCAATACTGACACTTTTGGTCCAGCAAACTTTGTATATAAAGACACTTTTAATCAAATATATGGCGGGATAAAAGGCAAAGGATCAATTACAATTAGTTTTGTTCAAAAACCTAAATCTGATGGCGAATACGCTTTTAGGGTTAAAGCAGACGAAACAAATGAATTGAGCATTCTAGTTGTTGATAGTGTAAATAATATACAATATCAAAGTACCGATAATGATGGCCTTGAACTAAAGAAAGAACAATTTGCTAAAGTGTTGGTGAATGGTAGCCGAATAGGAGTATCATTTAACAATATGTGGTTAAAAAGAACAGACAATGTCGACAAAGCAAAAGTTTCTATCAATATAGAATAAGATCTTTTTCAACAATATTAAAAGCAGTTTAAATTTCGGTTTAAACTGCTTTTTGTTTTGACCCTATCAGCAAATTATATAAAGAAAGTGCTGCTTTAGCATAACTTTGAATAAACAAATACACAAATCTTGAACTGGGATTGCACCTATATCGACTATCAAAGCACCAATTCTTTTTCTGAATTGGCGTACGACTATATTCAAGGCAAAGAACAATTAAAACCTTTTTTTGCTTTCTCGCCAGACAGACAAGGAATTGAGCAGTCTATAACCATGAGAAGAGATTTCCCCGTTAATAGAATAGCACTTGTAAACGCACTTCAAAATCAGTATCAAACGCTTCATAAAATAGAAGTCGTAGACAATAATATTCTATCTCTAGCTGAGGAAAACACCTATACAATTTGTACCGCCCACCAGCCCAATTTACTAACTGGTTATTTGTATTTTTTTTATAAAATCTTGCATGCCATTAAGATGGCAGAAGACTTGAATAGTCAACATCCTGAACTTCATTTTGTGCCAGTCTATTATATGGGTAGTGAGGATAATGATTTGGATGAACTAGGGCAATTTTGGTATGAACATAAACGATACAAATGGACTGCAGAAGGACAAAAGGGGGCCGTGGGAAGAATGAAGACAAAAAGTCTAAAAGCTCTTTTTGAAGATTTGTTTAGAAAATTTGGTCCTCCAGGTCAATATTGCGAAGAGCTTATAATACTAATTACCGATAGTTACCTTCAAAAAGCCACAATTGGTGAGGCGAGTCAATATTTAGTTCATCAACTATTTGGTCATTATGGACTTATTGTACTTAATCCCGACGATAAACAATTCAAAACATTATTCAGCAGCATTATTAGGGATGAATTACTGCATCAAAATGCTTTTGAAATAGTTTCAAAACAATCTGAATTATTAGCAAAGGATTACAAGGCGCAAGCTTTTCCTAGACCTATCAATCTTTTTTATTTAAATGAGAATAGAAGAGAGCGAATAGAAAAAGAAGGAAATATTTGGAATGTATTAAACACAAACATCCAATTTACCGAAGCCGAATTACTGAGTGAAATAGACAAACATCCTGAAAACTTTAGTCCTAATGTGATTTTAAGGGGGCTTTTTCAAGAAACAATCTTACCTAATATCTGTTTCATAGGTGGGGGTGCAGAGCTAGCTTATTGGCTTCAACTCAAACCAATTTTCGAGTTTTATAAAGTTTTTTACCCCGTACTCTTCCTTAGGCAATCGGTTCAAATTATAACAATCGAAACCCAAAAATTAATAGCACAATCAAAGCTAGATATCAAGCACATCTTTGATAATACTGAAGAAATCATCAAGCAACAGATCATAGAAAATAAAGGAATAAGCTGGGACCTGCATCTTGAATCTTTAAGCATTGCACAGTCACTGAAGACAATTCAAGAAAAAGCAATTTTAATCGATAAAACTTTAGAAAGATCTGCTGAAGCATCGCTAAGCAAAATCAAAAAACAGATTGCCATCCTTGAACAAAAAATGTACCGTGCCGAAAAAAGAAAAGAAAAAGAGCGTATTCTGAAAATCACTCGAATCAAAGGAATGATTTGTCCTGAAGGAGGACTGCAAGAAAGGGTTGAAAATTTTATGCCTTACTTTTTACAAAATGGTTTCAGTATTTTTGACACAATAAAAAAATCAATCAAACCTTTTGACAATCTGTTTATCATCCTTACGCCTAAAAAATAAACAAATGAAGCTAGTCTATTCTTTCAAATTCTTGCTTTTACTCCTTATTTTTTCATGTTCTATTAATCTAGGATATGCACAATTGCTTAGCAAAGCTAATCCGACCAAAAAATCAAAAGTGCTCCCTAAATTGTATTCGGGAATAAAATTCGGGGCAAATTTTTCTTATCTATCAGGCAAAAATTGGGACAATGGCGTAAAATCCAATATGCTATTGACAGAGGATTCATTAACGGAGATAGCTATCTATTTAATAATGTAGTGTATACAAAAGGTGAATTACAAGAAAACTGGCTTGTGCCTTTGCGTAAAAGTTGGCTTGCAGAAAGAGTCAATCTGAGTGCACAGCAACAGAACCTAAATTAGCGGCATCAACTCCTTTTTATCAAACTATTGTTTCTTAGGAATTAATTTCATTATCTTAGCCATCGAAAATCACATTATAACAATGCAATATCGTTCTCTATTCCTAGCCTCTTTGGCTGCACTCATGTTGATTTTGGGTGTTTCTTCTTGCCGCAAGACAATCACTGTTGGCAATAAACCAGGTCTTCAATTTATAGCAGGACCAGAATATTACCTAACATCTGACTCTACATTGACGCAAGATAAAAGATATACTATATCTATTAAAGCCGACAGAGCAGAAGACTTATCTCCTAATACCTATTTTGAAGTAGTGCGCACTTATTCTGGCACTGCCGACACTACTGTTTTTGATACATTTCTAGAAGGAAACGAACAAGTAAGCTATCAATACACACATACCTTTACTACCCTCAAAAAAGCGGGTACTGAACGCTTTACTTTTACAGTAAAAAACAATCACGGTATTACGAATCAAAAAATATTGGTTTTTACGGTTAAGTAATTTGCTTCCAATTTTTTAAGAAAATATTTTGACCTTATAAAAATACCTTTGTGCATCGTTGATGTACAGAGGTATTTTTTCAATAGAAATGCAATAAATATCAAGACCCATTTTTACATATTTAATGAAACCGACTTTCTCAAAAAACATATTTGGCCTGTTCCTTATCGTAGCACTTATTACCTTTTCTGCTTCTGCACAATCAGATGTGGCAAATTTGCGTAATAGTCAGCTATCTTTTTCTAGAGTAGCGCAAGCTTATTCCAAGTATAATGATAGCCTCAAAAAGTTCTTCAACTCTAGAGCCCTAAGTTACCCACCCAAAGACATTTATATCCGCACCTTTAAATCGCAGAACGAAATGGAACTTTGGGGCAGAGAAAATGCAAACGACCAATATAAACTGATTAAACTTTATCGCGTTTGTGCATTATCTGGCATTCTGGGTCCCAAGCGTTGTGAGGGCGACCGCCAAGTACCTGAAGGGTCTTATTTTATTGAAGACTTCAATCCTCAAAGTGATTTCTTCCTTTCAATGCTCATTAATTACCCCAATTATTCTGATATTGTATTGGGTGATAAAAAGAAACCGGGTGGCGATATTTATATACATGGTGGCTGTGTTACCGTTGGCTGTATGCCCATGACCGACGAGGTAATCCAAGAACTATATGTGGTATGCCTCAATGCTAAACTAAATGGACAGAATTACATTCCTATCAGTATTTACCCAACAAGATTCAATAAAAAAGGCCTTGACTTCCTAGGTAGAGAATATGCTACTGAAGAGGGAAAGCAAAAATTTTGGGTAAATTTAAAAGCGGGATATGATTATTTTGAGATGACGAAGAAAAACATGCCTGTAATGTACACTCCCGATGGGAAGTATGTTTTTTAATTACCTTTTTATACAAACAAATATTTATTCAAAACGATAATGGAAATTTCAGAAAAAATTCACTGCCTTATCATAGGCTCTGGTCCTGCAGGATATACTGCAGCCATATACGCCTCACGTGCCGGACTTAAACCAGTTATGTACCAAGGCTTACAACCAGGTGGTCAACTTACGATTACTACCGAAGTAGAAAATTATCCTGGCTACCCCGAGGGCGTAATGGGACCTCAAATGATGAAAGATTTTGAAGCTCAAGCGCAACGTATGGGTGCAGATATTCGTTGGGGAATGGCTAGTAAAGTTGATTTCAGCACACGCCCATTCAAAGTAGAGATTGATGAAGAAAAGTGGGTTGAAGCAGATTCAGTGATTATCGCTACAGGCGCATCGGCTAAGTGGTTGGGCCTCGAGAGCGAACAACGCCTCAACGGTTACGGAGTATCTGCATGCGCTGTCTGCGATGGTTTCTTTTTTAAAGACAAAGAAGTTGCTATAGTAGGTGCTGGTGATACTGCTGCTGAAGAAGCACTATACCTTTCGAAACTATGCACCAAAGTACATATGCTTGTTCGCCGCGATGAGATGCGTGCGAGTAAAGTAATGCAACAACGAGTTTTAAGCACCCCCAATATTCAAGTTTATTGGAATAGCGAAACCGCTGAGATATTGGGAGACAAAAAAGTAAGTGGACTTCGTATCCGTGATACCAAAACAGGCGCCACTCAAGATATTGAATTGAGTGCATTTTTTGTGGCTATAGGTCACACTCCTAATTCGGGTATCTTTAAAGGTTTTATTGATATGGACGAAGAAGGATATATCAACACTATACCCGGCACATCCAAAACAAATATTGAAGGTGTTTTTGCCTGCGGTGATGTACAAGATAAGACGTATCGTCAGGCAGTGACAGCAGCAGGAAGTGGCTGTTCGGCTGCATTAGATGCCGAAAGATATTTAGGCGCATTGGCATTTAACGAGGGGCATTAATGATAGCAATAGATCATGTACTGCTGAGCGACGATATTATTGATGCTCAATTTGTATGCGACCTTGAGCGCTGCAAAGGAGGTTGTTGTGTCGATGGGGATTGTGGTGCACCATTAAGCGAAGAAGAAGCAAAAATCATTGCCGAGATTCTACCCAAAGTAAAACCATATTTGCCCGCAGAGTATATTGCCGAAATAGAAAGACAAGGCACTCATGTAATGGATGATGAGCATGGCATGGTTACCCCTACTATCGATGGTGGTATATGTGTCTATGCCTATACTGACACTCTAGGTATAGTCAAATGTGGCATTGAAGCTGCTTACAGAGATGGCCTTATTGATTTTAAAAAACCGATTTCTTGCCACCTATACCCCATAAGGATAGACACTAGTGCCGAATACGAATTGGTGAATTATGAGCCACGCAAAACCTTATGCCGACCGGCATGTAAATTGGGCAAAAAATTGCAAGTGCCCGTCTATCAGTTTCTTAAAGAGCCGCTTATACGAAAGTATGGCGAACCATTCTACGAAGCATTAGATGCATTAGCACAACACAAAAAAGAATAAGTGAAAGAAATGTTTTTTTTGTAGAATATTCCCTAAATTTACTTTTATTAACTAAAAAAAAATACTATGAAAAAGATTTTACTTTTGAGTGTTTGTGCCGCTGTGTTTACAAATGCTAGTGCTCAAGTACCTAAAAAAGTTGCAACGTCATTAGTAAGCAAAGTTACCGCTACTTGGTGCGGTCCTTGCGGAGCATGGGGATGGACTTTGGCAGATGAGCTTATTGCTGGAACTACAGGTAAAGCTCTCTATGTGAATTTATATGCATCTTCTAGTACTTCCATGCAAAATAATTGGTTTTACAATGCTACAGCAGTTGGAATAGCAACACAGATTACTTTTGCAGGTTATCCAGACTATGGGAATAACCTTATTAATCATACCAAGAAAAATACTACTACTGCGGGTATTAATACTTCGGGTATCAAATCTGACATCTTCGCTGCTGTTAATGCTTTTGCACTCACAACCCCCGTTGCTAGTTCGGCAAATAGCATGAAAATAACTGGAAATACTATTAGTGTTGATGCAAGAGTCAAATTTTGGTCTGCTACCACTGGAGAGTATTATCTTGCTGCATATATGATAGAGGATGGAGCATTGAACTTGCAAAATAGCCAAACTGGCACCGTTGCACATCATGATGTAATGCGTGGCTCTATGTCTAGTTCAGTTTGGGGCGATTTAGTGGCTACAGGTTCTATTGCTGCCAATGCCTATTACAAAAAAACTTTTACTTTCAATATTACGGATAGCAAATGGGATAAAACTAAATTGAAGATTTATACCGTTTTGCTTAAAAAGGTAGGTACAACTTATCAATTTGTGAATGTTAGCGAAAATGAAGCACCAACTTCTATTAATTCAATTGCTGGTGTAAATGAACTTAAATTGTTTCCTAACCCTGCAACTGGCGAAAATGTAACCCTTTCTGTACAATCTACCGAAAGTCAAGAAATTAATATTTCTATAGTTGATATGATGGGTCGAATTGCTTACACAGCAAATCAAAATGCTATAACTGTAGGACAGAATAATATCACAATTCCAACAAGCAATCTAGCTGCTGGTACTTATCAAGTTCTAATTAGTTCTGATAATGGTTCAATAACTGAAAAATTATCCATAGTGAAATAATCCAAAAGAATATTTAAATAAAAAACCCACGAAAATATTTTCGTGGGTTTTTTATTTAAACAGAATTTCAAAAACTTTAAAATCTAAACCCAATACCTGCCAAAAAATTGCGTCCGGCCTGTGGGTAATAATAATTTGTATTGACCAAAGCAGCACTGCTGATATAGGCATAGTTATAGCCATTGTTTTCGTAGAGGCGGTTAAGACCATTATAGATGGCTAGGGTAAATAATATTTCTGAGTGCTCTTTTATCGTCCACACATATCTGAGTCTAAGGTCTATCAAACTATAATCGGCAATACTGCGGCTTTTGTCGCTTGTATTATCCAAATATTGTCGACCAACATGCTTGGCCAAAAGATTTAATTCTAGCGCGCGCAATCCACCATATCTAAAATGCACAAAAGGTTTGAATCCAAAATCTGCAGCAGCAATGACATTGGGTGAAAAAGCAATATTAGTATTGCGGTGCGCCACTATCTGCTGTGTCCCATTGTCATAATCGTCGAGGTATTCGTTAAAATTTTTGATTTTGTTTTGAGCGAAAGTCACATTTCCGGCCACCTTAAACCATTTAGTACAGGCGGCAGATGCCACTAGTTCTATCCCTGCTCTATAACTCTTGTCGACATTGACTCTTGTGTAGGCACCTACATCATTAATTTGCCCGTTGAGTACTAATTGGTCCTTGTAATTCATCCAATATACATTCGCTAAAGCGTTCCACTTTTTGGCAGTAATTTCATATCCTGCTTCAATATTCATTAATTGCTCCGGCTTGGGCAGCATAGCCGCAGATGCTTCAAAATCGTTTCGGTTAGGTTCTTTATTGGCCAAAGCAAAAGATGCGTATAGGCGTTGCTGACGATTTCTTTCGTCTTGCAACATATAGTTGGCGCCTGCTTTGGGGTTAAGGAAACTATAGTTTACAGAAGGATTCAAATTTGGATTTTTCCGAAAGCCATTCATAAAATAAGATACTACCCTAGCTTGAACATCTGCATAGACCGTCAGCTTAGGGTTTAGATGATATTGCCATTTTACAAACTGATTGAAATCATTTTTCATAGCATCATTACGATACCAATTGTAGTCGGCAGGGATACCAAGTGCAGCCCATTTGACAAAACCATAATGCAAACCACTATACTGAGCTACTGAACCGCCAAAATTTATCGTTGTTTTATTTTGGATATATTGAATACCATAAATACCGCCATAATATTGATTATCTAACCAAAGCTGACGCACCATATCTGTTTTGGTAAAGGTATCTCCTGCACTAGTCGTAAAAGGTGATAAGCCATAATTTTTAAAATTTTCGCCAATACGATATTCCTCATAGTATCCTTTGCCCCTTGTGAAAAACAAACCAATAGTGCCCGACCAATGTTTATTAAAATTATGGTCTAAGAAAGTTTGATAATAAGTCTGCTGATAATTATCTGTTTGGTTGTCGTAATAACTTCCATCCGCCTTTTGTCCTAATTCATTATATCTACGGTTGCTTTTCAAGGAGTCTTGAGGAACGCCATTCCAAGCCTGTCCTGTTTTTTCGTCACCGGTCAACACCAGAAACTTAAATTTGGTTTGCGGGTTAATTTGCCAACTAGCAATAGCCTGTGCCGCTTTTAGATTAGATGCCGAACGCAGTATGTATCCGTCTGAACTGATTTTGGATAAACGAACATCAAATTTCCAGCCATTTTGCAACAAACCTGTTCCTGCTTTAAGCGTATATTTTTGAGTATTAAAACTACCTGCACTCATATTCAATTCGCCACTTGGCAAATCCTTTTGATCCATATTACTAATACTCATAGTGGCGCCAAAAGAGGCCGCGCCATTGGTAGAAGAACCCACACCCCTCTGCAATTGAATACTACTAGTAGAAGAAGCGAGGTCGGGCAGATTGACAAAAAAAGTTCCTTGAGATTCTGCATCATTTACCGGAACCCCATTGAGGGTTACATTAATTCTAGTGCCATCTGTCCCCCTTATCCTAAGTGATGTGTATCCTACACCCGCTCCTGCATCAGAGCTACTTACTGCGGATGGTGTCATTTGTAACAGCGTGGGTAAATCCTGTCCTAAATTTTGAAGTTCGATATCCTTTTGACCTATATTGGTTTTAGTAAATGGGCTTTTAGCATCGGTACGAATAGAGCGAACCTCGATTGACTTGAGTAATAGGGGGATATTTTGGGGGATTTCCGAGCTGTCTTTTTCTTGTGCTTGTGCCTCAATAAAAGCAGCCAATGCCGAAAAAAACAGAACTAACTTGAGTGGGTTCAAATGCGCCATAATTAAATTGTTTAAAAAACAGAAATAAACGAGGCGCTAATGCACAATGAGTTGTAGCTCACTAATGTATTCCTAAACGGCATTATCCGTTCGAGGTTCAGCGGGTATATTCTCAGCCTGTATATTGGGCACCCCGTGCAACAAAAATATTCAATTGCGGAGCAAATGTATGTCAATGCTCGTGTTCCAACAAATTGAAAATAAAATTAAGTAGATGATTTTTTTATTAAAATTTCCCTAAATTGCAGTTCTAAAATTATTAAAAATGAAAAAAATATTACTAATCGCTGCCACCATTGGAATAGCAGCATCGAGCAATGCACAGCGCATGTCGATCTACGAAGAGTTTTCGGGAGAGAATTGCGGTCCTTGTGCTGCTTCTAATCCAGCTTTGTGGACATTAATGACTGCAAACACTTCAAAAGTTATTTTGGTAAAATACCAAAGCCCTATTCCATCTGCAGGACCAATTTACACTGCATATACTACAGTTACTGATACAAGAATGACTTATTATTCTGTTCCTTTTGCACCATATGGTCGATTGAACGGAACTGGTTTAGGTACAGGAACCGCTGCTCCAAGTAGCCCTGGACATATTGCCAATTTATTGCAAGCTGATATTGATGCTGCTGCTGCAGCAGGTTCACCTTTCAAAATGACTGTAACTTCAAACTACAACGCTAGTGGAGACTCTGTTTACACTACTGTAAAAATTGATTGTATCACAGCATACACAGGTACTACAATGAAATTGCGCATTGGAATGATTGAACATCTAGTTTACACAACACCTCCAGGTTCAAATGGCGAGAAAGATTTCCACAATGTTGTTCGCGAAATGTATCCAGATGCTGCAGGTACAACAATACCAAATGCATGGACTGTAGGTATGTCTCAAACATTCACTATCGGCGGTAAAGTAAGATCTTTTGTTAAAAAGTCTAGCGGCCCTCAAATGGTTGCTTGGATGCAAGACGATGCTACTAAATCAATTCCTCAAGTGGGTGTGGGTGTTGCATTACCAACTACATTTGCAACAAACGTAACTGCTAATCCAGTAGTTTTACCAGGAACTATTAATTGTGTTGGTGCTACATTGTCAGCTCCTACAGTATCATTAAAAAATTCAGGTACAACATCTACTATCACTTCAGCTACAATCTACTATAGAGTGGGTACTGGTGCTTGGGCAAACAAAGCTTGGACTGGTTCTTTGGCTCCTGGTGCTTCAACTCCTGTAACTTTAGGTCCAATTACGCTTCCTGCAACTCCTGGAACTTATACAGTTACTGACTCTATCGTACTTTCTGTAGTGGATCAAGATGCTGCTGATAACGTATCAACATCAACTGTAACTGTAGTTTCTACTGCACCAAAAGCTATTCCTTATAGCAATGACTTCGAAGCAGCTGCGTTCCCAGCAGGATATTATGCCTATGATTCAGATGGTTCGGGTAGCACATGGGTGAATGGTTCTGGTGGAACAGGTAGCACATATTGCCATAGTGGTATTTATATGCCTTGGTTCAAATTAAGCACATACAGCACAGGTGCATCTAGCATTCTTATCATGCCTACTCCTGCAGTTTCTGGTAATGTTGCTCTTGATTTCTGGGAAGCTTACGCTCAAACTTCTACTTCAAGCACAGACAAACTAGAGGTAATTTATTCTACAAACTGTGGTACAAGTTGGACTCCATTGTGGAGCGCAACAGGTGCTGCTCATGCTACTACTGCTGCTACTGCTACTTACTGGTTACCTGATAGAGTTAAAACTCCAAGTGGTTGGGTAAAACGTTCATTAAGCATTAATTCTTTACCTGCTGGTTCAATTTTAGCTTTCAGAGCTACAGACGGTGGTGGTAACAACTTGTTTATTGACGACGTTAATGTTCGTGCAGGTTTGAGCATCAAAGATGAAAGCATTTCTTTGAGCGCTATGACACTTAGTCCAAACCCAGCTAAAGATTTTGCTACATTATCTTTCCATATCAACGAAGCTACTAACGTTGATGTAGTAGTTGTAGATGCTCTTGGAAGAACAATCATTACTCAATCTGAAGGAAAAATGAATTCAGGTGCACAAGAAGTTAGAATTAACACTTCAACTCTTGCTACAGGTATGTATCTAGTAAAAGTATCAACTGAAAATGGTACTGTTACAGAACGCCTTTCTGTAGTTAAATAGTCTCTATATTTAATGTATTAAAAGCGCCCCGAAAATCGGGGCGCTTTTTTTGCAATATACTCATAATGCAAATTGACAAGCAATTATTTTCGATACCTTTGCACCACTAAAATAATAAAGAATGAAATTAGCCACTTACAGTAAAAACGGTCAACAGCAATTAGCTTTATTGATAGGCGAAAAACTTTATGACACCAACAAACTAAATCCTGCATTGCCCAATAACATGAAAGCTATGCTTCAAAATTGGGAAATCAATAGCGAAATCGCCAAGAAAGCCGAAGCGGATATTAAAAAAGGTATTAATAGTATGACTGCTGATGCAGAGTTTGCAACTGCTTCCTTAATGGCTCCAGTACCTGAGCCAAGTTCTTGTAGAGACGGATATGCTTTTCGCCAACACGTGGCGGCGGCAAGACGTAATAGAAAAGTAGACATGATTGCTGAATTTGACCATTATCCCATTTTTTACTTCACCAATCACAATGCCATACAAGGACCTGGAGAAATTATTTGTATGCCCGATCATTTTCAAAAATTAGATTTTGAACTTGAGGTTGCTGTTGTGTTAGGCAAAAAAGGAAGAAATTTTACTGCGGCAGAGGCAGACCAATATATTGCGGGTTACATGATTATGAACGACATGAGCGCACGTACTTTACAAATGGAAGAAATGTTGCTTAATCTCGGACCTGCCAAAGGCAAAGATTTCAGTACAGTTATTGGTCCAATAATGGTTACTCCAGACGAATTGGAACCTTATAAAATCCCAACTAAAGACAAACATACTGGCAACAACTATTACCTTGGAATGACCTGCAAAGTAAATGGCATAACGGTAAGTGAAGGCAATATGGGTGATATGGATTGGACTTTTGCAGAGATTATAGAAAGATGTGCTTACGGAGTAGATGTGTTGCCCGGCGATGTAATAGGCAGCGGGACTGTAGGTACAGGTTGCTTCTTAGAGCTTAATGGAACTGGTCTTTTGAACGACCCAAATTATACTGTTCAATGGCTACAACCGGGCGATGTGGTGACCATGGAGATTGATGGACTAGGGGTTTTAACGAACACCATCATTGCAGAAAAAACGGAATGGAGTATATTAAATGAAAAGAAAAAATTCATTTAATAGCTAAGAATATTAATTACTAATTGTTCAATACGAATATGGGGCGCCTTCGGCGCCCCATATTCATTATATAGTGTGCGTAAATTAGAAAAGCTACTCCTTAACAAAACGCTGTGCTGTTAATGATTCGCCGTCATAATACAAAACAGAATATACTCCAGTCGACAAAGCACTGATGTTAATTTCGTATTGGTTGCCACGATGGGTAATAGGCAATGCTATGGTTTTGCCAAGTGCATCAATTACACGAATCGTTTCATCTTGATGCGGCTTAGCTATTGATTGAACATACAAGATTGTTTGTGCAGGATTGGGGTATAATTTGAAGCTATTCTGTTGCGCAGTCAACTCTTTGCTGCTCAATGGAGGTAAAGGATTCCAATATACTTTCCATGCTGTATCTGCAAGGTCTTTTATTTCTTTAAGCTTTAAATCGGGGCATATATGAGCATTAGTATCAGTAGCCATAAAAACGGTACTATATTTCAATACGCTTTTTGGGTAAAATGAATTATACCTTCTCGAACTAATGATAAATCTACGATCTTCTGATGTTGCAATACTATCACAAGGATTCCAAGTCGAATTAAGATTATAAAACACACGTCCTAAACCACTTCCATAATCTATAGGTAGCCCCAAAGCATTGCTACCTGTCATATACTGATAAAATGTCAAAGAGCTAGTTGGTGGTGCATAAGCACTAGATGATGCGCTTTTAAAATATCCAAAACTCCCTATTTTTTGCATTGAAGAAGGATAAACATCACCTGGCATTTCGACAAAACTTAAAGCAGTAAGTGGAGGATTGCTACCATATGACTTTGTACCATAAGGACCGTCAATACCCGGATTAAATTCTACTACCATTCTTTTGTTAGAATCGATTGCTAAAGCATCATCAAATGGATTTCCTAAATCAGCATCACTAAATAAACTAAAAATAAAGCTATCTAAGACTAAAGCTTTATTTATTACTTTGTATTCATAAAACATCATTCTATCAACAGCACTAGCTCTTTTATAGGCATAAGCGGACACATGAATTTCAAGACCAAGTGGAGGACTTTTTGATAAATAATGAGTGTTAGTGACATCATTTAATACCCACCAAAGCATCTGATCGCCTTTTATTTTAGGATAATCCCCATCTTTCCAATTATAAATCCCATCACTATTGACATCTACAAATGGGGCGAATCCGTTGGTATCTACTTTGCCTAACAAACTAAAAAGAGTCCCACCTTTCGCTCCAACGGCATAGATATTACCCACAGCAGGCCATTCTTTTATCACGTCGTATTTGGCAGCAGTAATGGCTGTCACCCCTCCAGTAGCATAAAGATTATTAAAGCTGCTAATTGTACTCGCATCTACCTTCCATATTTTAGCCCATTCAGATGATGTTGCATAAGTACAAATACCTAAAGAATCTATAGGACCAGGGTAAAAATCAACACCAGGTGAGGTCCGATACATAGTTGCAGCAACTTTCAATTGACCACTACCATCTATGCCTCCCATCCACAAACCACTCATAAAATTAGCTTGCTTTCCACTTCCTTTCGGATATTCACATGCAGGATTTCCTGAACTAGGGTCGTACCACATATCTCCATGCACCATATGTGCTGCATTAAAATAATTAATGTCTAAGTTTTGAGTGGTGCTAAATGGCGTTTGGGCAAAAGAGCCCATACTCATTAATATACTAATGGACATTGTGATTTTTAAAAACAATAGCTTTCTCATTTTATGTCAATTTAAAATTGTGAAAAATGGGTGATACTCTAAAATAATTTTCTCAAATTACTGTATAAATCTCCTTTTAATGACCTATTAATGCATATCCGTGTTGTTTCTGCGTATAAGTGTGTTTGAAAACAATTTTATAGAATTTATTTACTCCTTAACAAAACGCTGTGCTGTTAATGATTCGCCGTCATAATACAAAACAGAGTAAACTCCAGCTGACAAAGCACTGATGATAATTTCGTATTGGTTGCCACGATGGGTAATAGGCAATGCAATGGTTTTGCCAAGGGCATCAATTACACGAATCGTTTCATCTTGATGCGGCTTAGCCATTGATTGAACATTCAAGATTGTTTGTGCAGGATTGGGGTATAATTTGAAGCTATTCTGTTGCGCAGTCAACTCTTTGCTGCTCAATGGAGGCAAAGGATTCCAATATACTATCCATGCTGTATCTGCAAGGTCTTTTATTTCTTTAATCTTTAAATTGGGACATATATGAGCATTAGTATCAGTAGCCATAAAAATCATGCCCCATTTAGCTTTTGTATCTTTATTGAAATTATACCCTTTACTAGAAAGTACAAATCTTCTGTCTTGAGGACGGTCATAACTTTCAAATGAATCACAATCCGAAGTTTTGCTAAGGTTTTGAAATAATACCTCAGGGCCCCATTTTAAAGAAAGTGGTAAATCGTCAGCATTTTTTGCATTCATATATCGAACAAATTCCTCTGTAATTTTAGGATCTCTATTAGGAGTACCTGCAGAATTTTGAAAACTAGTAATTGAACCTATACTTTGCATAGTTGTGGGATAAAAATCTCCAGGCATTTCAGCAATACTCAAGGCAGTAATTGGTGGATTATCACCATAACTATTTTTTCCATTAGGCATGTCTTTAGATGCATTAAACTCAACTGCCATTCTAAAAGTAGAATCTATACCTAAATAATCATCAAATGGGTGGCCTAAATCAGCTTCGCAAAAGTTTGCCATTCTGAAATTTGTATAATTTTCATCAGATTTGTTAAAAACAGTATACTCATAAAACAACATCCTATCAACAGACGAACCTCTGTTATATGCGTATGCTGAAATGTGTACTTCTAATTTAAGTGCTGGGCTTTTGCTCATTGTATGCACTTTCCCATTGTCATTAATAATCCACCAAAGCATCTGATCCCCTTTTATTTTAGGATAATCGCCATCTTTCCAATTATATTTTCCATCACTATTGACATCAATAAAAGGGGCAAAATCATCAATACTTGTAGCTGTTAAAAGTTCAGGGATTGAAACTCCACTTGCTCCAATAGCATAAATATTTCCTGTTGCAGGCCATTCTTTAATAACATCATATTTAGGCAAACTAATACCACTTGCTCCACTCATTTTATATGCTAATTTGAAATCCTCTACAGTTGACGCATTAATTTTCCAAATTTTTGCCCAATTAGCTGAAGTAAGTACATCTATTGTGTCTGCATTATTTAATGGTCCAGGAACAAAGTCTATTCCGTATGTTCTGAAAAGTGTTGTTGCCGCTCGAGCATTACCTAAATTATCTATAGCACTAAACCATAAACCATTGGCATACGTTGCATGTTTGCCAGTGCCTTTTGGATAATCACATGCAGGATTTGTTGAACTAGGGTCGTACCACATATCGCCATGCACCATATGTGCTGCATTAAAATAATTAATGTCTAGGTTTTCGCTTGTGCTAAATGGTGTTTGGGCAGTTGAGCTAGCAATCGAAAGTGATGCCCATAGCACAACAAAAAGTATTCTTTTATTTTTCATTGGTCTGAAATTTTAAAGGTGAGTAGAAAAACAAACACTTAATTGTAGTATAAATATAAAATATCTAATTCATATTTCATAGTAATGAATAGAAAAAACTTTTAAAAAAGAAAGGGAAAATAAAGTTTTTGTGTTACAGAATTTAGTTGATGTACACCAAAAAGTAGAAGCTAGATTCAGCAATTGATGTTTTAAAATGCAAAGCGGGATACCGACAGTACTCCACTTTGCAATTTTAATTGAGTTTCAATTGTACGAGTGTGTTTGTTCTTAGTTTAAAAAAAAGACTCGTGCGTATCAAAACTAATATTGGTTATATCTAAATCCAAGACTCCGACATACTTGAACAAAGACAGGGTCGAAACTAAACAATGAGCTTGAAAATGACCCTAGATATTTAGCGAACGGTCGAAATATCTTCTAAACGGTAAAAAAATGACCTTTTTGACCCCTTTTTGGTCAAAAAACAGTTTAATAAATATAATATACGATGAGTTCTTTTATAAAAATTGTAGGATTTTTTCTACAATTTCTTTATCGTTTGCCAACAACCAATGAAAGGAGTGATCCTTCTTAAACCAGGTTATCTGCCGTTTAGCATAGTTACGACTATGTTGTTTGATTTTTTCTACAGCAAAAGACATATCACATCGACCATCGAAATAGTCTAATAGTTCAGCATAACCAACGGTATTAAGGCTTTTAAAATGTCTATAAGGGATAAGTGCTTTAGCCTCTTGTAACAAGCCCTCGTTCATCATCATATCTACACGCATGTTGATACGATTGTATAACAATTCTCGAGGCAAATCAAGCGCAATTTTGATGACTCTAAAGGGTCTTTTCTTGGCAATACCTGTTCTATATGCGCTTATACTTTGCCCAACAGACAGTTTAAAAATCAATGCCCGCAACATTCTTGTTGGGTTACTCATCTCGCCCATGGCAGCATACTCGGCATCAACTGCGTTCAGTTCCTGCTGTAGCCATTGAATTCCCTTTTCTGCAAATTCATTATTGACTTTTTGTTCAATTTCGGGATTAACGGGCGGCATATCATCTAAACCCTCACATAGGGCTTTTATATACAAACCTGTTCCTCCGCAGACAATAGCGACATCCTTTTTTTCGAAAATGAG